ATCTCGGTCAACTTATGGCTGTTATTCCTCGTTACTCCCAGTAGTGCTTGGGGGAAAAGGGACTCTCCCATAGCCTGCTAGTCCCCCCTGACTAGTTTGTAACAGGCCACTAGATCCCCTCTCAGCCTTCTCTTGTGAAGGCTGAACAGGTTCAGGTCCCATAGCCTCTCTTCATAGGGCCTGCCTTGCTGCCCCCGATAATGAGAGTGGCCCTCCTCTGGACCCTCTCGATGCTGTCCACATCCCTCTTGAAATGTGGTGCCCAGAACTGGATGCAGTACTCCAACTGAAGCCTGACCAGTGTTGCATAGAGGGGGAGGATCACCTCCTTGGACCTGCTCATGATGTATCTGTGGATGCATGACAAGGTGCAGTTAGCCTTCCTGACCGCGTCCCCACATTGGCAGCCTATGTTCATTTTGGAATCAATAATGACACCGAGATCCTTTTCTTCCTCTGTGCTGACTAGAAGGGAGTTCCCCAGCCTGTAGGTAAGCTGCTGGTTCTTCCTCCCTAGGTGCAGTACCTTGCACTTGTCAGTATTGAATCCTATCCTGTTCTTATCCGCCCACCCCCATAACCTGTCGATCTAGTTGCAGCCTGTCCCTCTCCTCCAGTGTGCCCACTTCTCCCCACATTTTAGTGTTATCCATGAATTTGAACAAGGTGCTTTTCACCCCCTCATCCAAGTTGCCAATGAAGATGTTGAACAGTGCAGGCCCAAGGACTGAGCCCTGAGGGAGCCCACTGGCCACATCCCTCCAGGTCAAAAAAGAGCCATCCACCACCACTCTCTGGGTGCGGCCCTCCAGCCAATAAACAACGCATCTGACTGTGTAGGTATCCACACCACAGTTGCCCAATTTCTTAATGAAAATGGGGTGAGAGATGCAGTGTCGAAGGCCTTCCTAAAGTCCAGAAAGACTATGTCCACCACGACACCTGTGTCCAAGGATTTTGTGACCTGGTCGTAGAAGGCCACCAGGTTGGTCTGACAGGACCTGCCTTGAATGAACCCATGTTGGCTGCCCTTAAGCATGATATCCCCTGCTGGTTCCTAGCAGATGTGCTCCTGGGTAATTTTCTCAAAGAGCTTCCCCAGGACTCAGGTAAGACTAACGGGCCTGTAGTTTCTTGGGTCCTCCTTCCTCCCTTTTTTGAAAATGGGGACCACACACATTGGCCTTTTTCCAGTCCTCTGGCACCTCGTCACTCCCTTTGTCCGATAATTAAGCTAACTGCAGTAGGTGTCCAGGCCACCACACCAAAGTCACCTGCCAAAGATGTACAACCTGCAAAAGGATACATCATGTCTGGGTTCTTTAGAGAAGTCCTGGTCCTTGGTGGGAGGGTCTCCAGTAAGGTCTGAATGGTCTCTGCCTGGGCTGGCTCTATCTGATCGCACCTGCTCTGGACCTGAGTAAGCAAGTGAAAAGGACTTCCAGAACAAGAGGTAATGGATGGGCTTCTTTCTTTGCCTCTTCATTTTCTTGCTTTCCCCACCCCCATCTGTGGGAATGAAGCACACACACTCCACCCCACAAGCACAAAGGGTGGGAATCAAGAAGCAGGGCAGGCTCAAAGCAATTGAATAATACAACCTGGGCAGACAAGCTGAATCATTTTGCCTTCCCACTCCACATCACCTTCCTCACTGCACCAGACAAAAAGAGCCAAGCCGACTGACTGTAGGATCCCCGCATCTTCACCTCTACCTCACCCAACCCAAAGGACTTCTAGATCTTCTTAGCAAATCCCAATGTGACCATGTGTGGAATTCCCTCCTTATGGACTCACCCACTAAGGCTGCCTATACACATGCTCAGGGGGTGGGTGTTTTAATTAGAGTGGTTCTCGGACAGCCACTGTAATTAAAACACCTCACTGTCACATGTATTAAGCCCCCACGCATTTAAAAATGGCTGCAGGACACTTTATCTACAACTCAATTTAACAAGTTTTAGATAAAGTGCCCTGCAACCATTTAAAAATGCACAGAGGCTTAATATGTGTGATGCTGTGGCGGCACTAGAGCCTTCTAATTAGAACACCAACAAGTGCATATGTAGACAGCTCACGTGCCTATTTCCCTTTTCCTCCCAGACCTTACCAGCACTCTTACCTGAAGAAGAAAGAGGCGAAGAGCTTGGGATGTGTTTTCAGGAAGCTCTAATAAATTGGCTTTTGTTGCCTCTTGGAGGATCTGGCTAATTTCGCTTTGAGAAATAACAGTGTTGTTCTGATACCTCACAAACTGGAAGGAAAACAGGGGAAGGAAACAAAAATCAACCCAGAAATCCAGTGGTGACTCATTCCCAGCTAAGACCTTCTCTACACAAAAATGTACTTGGTTAACTAAGGACCAAATGTTTACGCCAATCTAATTAAGTGGTGCAAAGAGCAATTGAGACATGCTTATTGTGGTTTAAGCCAGGCTTATTTTGATTTAACTCAAGTCAATTTAGAATCCAAGTGATACTAAACTGAAAATGCTAGTTTTAATACTGAAATAAGAGCAAGTGAACAGGGCTTCACATTTGTTCACACTTGTTTAATTAAACAGGTTTGAAAAATGAATTATGTTGTAGTGGTGCAGCCTTGTCATATAGGTAACACCTGATTCAGAACAGGGTAGAGATTTGTGCACTGTTACCCACCACAGGCTTCTTTCAACAATATCTTAACAAATATTTGACATCAGTACCCTACCCAGTGCTTCCACAATGCAGTAATGCACAAGTAATCAAATAGTCCCTGTATCACTTCCCCTACAGTGGTCCTGACATGTGAAGGGAATGCAACAAACAGTGAAAGAACACACATCTAACACAGTCAGCATTTTCACAGGGGCCTTCTTTCCACATTTCAAGTACATCTGTTTGTTATTCAGTTATGAGACAGGAATATAGTTAACGACTGAGAACAATGGCCACATCCGGGCTTGTGTTTGGGGAGTATCTGTATAATACAACACACCATCACTTACACAGATGCACTATACTGATACACAGACAAAATGGAGAATGGTCTATGCTTTCCCTGCTCACCAAAGTCAAAAGTCTGAGAATTTCTGGACAAAGGAAGGACTTCTCACCACCACTGAGTAGTGTGAAGAGTAGAAATTGGTTCCAGGGCTGTGAAGCAACGTGAAGAGCTGGAAGAGAGAAGAGAAACTACTAGCAGTGACTTTAAAAACTGCCTCATGGCAAGTTGAACGTAGGTACAGGCACTGGTTTATACAAACTAGGAACCCTTTCATTATACCTATAAGGCCCATACTATAAGACATTAATGTGGCTTTTTTTTTAATATCTGTTTCATCATGCAAGAGGTTGGTCATCAGGCCAAAGGCTTACTCAACCAGAGAATAATGGCTTCTGGTCACATATAAGGTCTTACCTAACTCAGGCTCTATAGTTGAAGTATTTGGCAAAAAACTGAAAGTACCAGAAGAGCCATCCCTTGGATACACTGAACTCAGAATCCTTCTGTCCATCTTTGGTGCTTGTATGGGTGGTAGATAAATGTATTTCATGGGGCATTTTCCAATACAAGTAATGGGCAATCCTTCATCCAGAATTCAAAGAAAACCTAGGTCTGATATCAGGAGAGGTTTCCTGACAGTGAGATGCATTAGACTGAAGACTTTCCCTTTAAGTAGAGGAAACCTCATCATTTGAACTATTTAAGCCCAAACTGAACAGATGCTACAGCCTGTACTGTAGGATACAACCTGGGTTGGAGAGAGTGAGATAAAGATTCCCATGCTTTTGGAACATGGACCACATCTGAATACAGAGTTTACTTTGTGGGCACCTCCCCTGCAAATAGTAGTCACATCACTGCCCTTTTGAAGCTCTTCATGGAAAAGCAATGCTACAAAAAGCATTCATGTATGGGTGAGCCATCTTTTAGCAGGTAGAACTGAGGAGAAGCAAGCATAAGCATCATATAACCAGCCTGCTCTCCACATATCATCAGTGGTCCAGTGGTACACATTTGAAAAGCACAGGACACACACAACTTCTCATCTCTACCTTCTGTGATTTTGACCACATCCTTTCTCCAAACACAAGCAACTGGATGTCAAGTACAGAAAAGCTGCTGCATTTGCCTACATGGTCAACATACTGTCAGGATCACATTCACTACTCTGTAAAGTGGTTAGGAGGGAACCGAGGTAGGAATGGGGCTATATAAAACATGGGTGCTATATAAAACATGAGTTGCTCTGCACAGCAACCAAGTGAGTTCTTATTTCTAAACATTATGATACATCATCTGATAACCTTCAGAGCAGTTCAGTGAAAGCAATGACTTATGATCACTGAAGGGAATTCTGCATTGCAGTGAGAATTTGGGCAGGCAGAGCAAAGGGTTTGGCTGTTGCTGAAATACTGAAGCAGCATTTGCTCAGTTTAATCCTGAAGCAATGGAACCTCCCACCAACCCCTTCTTGTCATCCTGTTCTGCTGGGGCTTTTTGCAGAGATGCCCATGGGCTAGTGACTGCCATTCGCCTGTAGTATTCAATTTTCATTCACCAACTTTCTCTCCCCCAACAATACTCTTTTTGTTAAAGGTTCCTTCAACCTCTAGCACTCTCTCTCCCTGTTTGTTACTGATTAGCATGGGTCAGGGAGCAGGGAACTTTTTTTCTGCTCTGAGGCTAGAACCAATGCCCAACTTGGTCACAGGATGCTAAAATCGAAAGGAAACACTTATTTCATTGGCTCAATTGCAAGAAGCCTTCTGCCTGCACTGCAAGGTGGCCTTTTGAGTTGAAGTTCTATGGTTGCTACTTGGTCTCTGGGAGTTTCAGCTCCACATTCTGTTGTTCTGTGTCCTGCAGGTACCCGTAATCTGGAAGCAAATTGCAACTGGCCCCTTAAAATGTGGAGGGCTGCATAACCCATTTGTAGCTTGCCCCCAACCCAATCAACTGGTCACTCTGGGCTAAATGGCTGGAATAAATGACCTGAGTGTGAAAGGCCCTGTACCCCATTCCAGAATCCCAAGAGGACCATCCCTTTGGGCCATAACAGATTTTGGAGCGAGGAAGATTGCTTTAGTCTTTCCAAAAATGACCCAGGGATCTGTGGCCAGAGAAAGGACTTAATCCTGCAGGAAGCTGGACACTGTGGCTTCAGTCCAACAAAATGTTTAAGCATGCAATTAACTTATGTATTTCAGCATGTCTATTGATTTCTCTGGGGCTCCTGCTAGGCTTAATTTAAAGCATATGCTTAAGGGTATTGTTGGATCAGGGCCAGAATGTTTGGCCCATTGCAGGGCTGAGTCCCAACTGAGCAAAGGCTGGGCAGGCTTTACCAGTGTCCTGGTTCTTCACATGCAGGTACTCCATCAGGGCCTCCAGGCAGGCAACCACTGTTTGAGAAAGCAGCAGATCTTTCTGTAAACACAAAGGAATGAAAATGAGGGCAATGGCTGCTACAAGACGGCAATGTGAAAAAACAAGGGTCCCATCTCTCAAGGGCATAGCTTAGACAAATGACACTTTTCATCCCACTCCTGGCATTAAATGTGCAACCTATCTGCCACTGGTGGTATCATGGGGCCACACAAGAGAGAAGAGTTTGGTTCAAAGTCTACAAGACTCAGCAACTGTCTCCTAAGAAAATGAGTAGAAGGTGCACCCATTAGCTGTGGTAGGGAAACACGCCGAGTAAATCTTTACCAGCTCTAACCTCTGTGATGTTTACACAGCAGTGTGCTATGCAGTGAGATACCCAGGCTAGCCTGAGCACCGGAAACAATCTAGGCACATAGCACAGAGCACTGTACAGGCTAATTTGTATGGCTCCTCATTACATTCAGAGGCACTCAACAGCATAGAAAGGCCTGTAGGCTTTGTTATGTCTTTCTAGTGCATTCTTTTAAACATATCTGAAAATATACCTGGGCCAAAAGATTCTGCAGACTGATGACAAGCGAAAGCACCTGCCGCACGGTCAGAGGATACAGGGAGGCATTGTCCTCTGATGGCAAGGACTCCAAGCTGCTCTGGGCTGTGGGTTGGACTATAAGCACCAGCAGGGATGAAGAGAAGTTCTGCCTAATGATGAACCTCAGGAGCTGAAGAATACCAACTGGACAGGGAACTGCTCATTATTACTAAACAATATCTTCCCTCCTTCACTTACAACCCATGAACCAGCCCCAAAGTACCCTGCATGAGTGGCCACATCACAGCTGGGGCAGAGGAGGGAAGGAAAAACTTGGTGGATTCGTTTTCAGTGCTTACTGAAGTGAGACAGACCTTACTTAAAGGCTGCAGGCAGGAATGGTACCCCAACAGGCTTCCCACGTGCCTCAGCCTTACCCTGCAGCATGGCTTATCTTGTTATTCCAGTTCTCAGTCAGATTCAGCCTCTGCTGCCCTACTCCATGGTGGTTTCATAGCATGAACCAATGCCCACCAAGGAGGGATGCCATCAGACTCATTTCACTTTGGTCTCCCCCTGAGCATGCACCCAGGTGCTCCAAGCTGGTCACATCCACACTCCTCAGGCTCATACGAGTACTGACATGCTCTTCTCCAATAATACAGTCATAGAATCATAGAGCTGGAAGGAACCTCAGCAGGTCATGTGTAGTCAAGGCAGGACCACCTCTGTCTAAACCATCCAATAAAGTGTTTGTCTAGACAGATCATTCTCATTTGTGTTCTCCCTGCCTTCACAGGGCTGCCACCCCCTCCCAATGTTCTCCCTACTTTTCACATAGTCTCTGCGGCTGGCAAAGTGCTAGTTACAGCAAAAAAGCTGCAAGAGCAAGTCTTTCAACCAGCCTCTGCCTACCTAAGAGCAGTGCAGGCTTCTTCCTTCTGAAGATGACTACATTCAGGATCTTCTCTAAATTCAGAGAGATTGGCTGGTGAACCTGTAAAAAAAATGAAGTACTGGGAAGAGACACAATGCCTGGCTCTAGGGCTGAGTCAGCAGAGGATCAGCTCGGCTAGTTAGGCTGCTCCCTGAACAATCTTGGGAAATCTGAGACCTGAAGAAGATGAAGTGGTCTTGGGTAAGACTGGGGAAGGACAGCAAGGATGCATGGCCCAAGTCTTGTCCACTTGCCTGCATGCTGCCTGCTGTAGCTGCACAAATAGTTGCTTCTGCTACACTCATCAGCTGCCAAACAGTTAACAAACCAAGCCTAATGCTGGCAGATAAACTGCCCTCATTATTAGCACCCACCTGAAGTGAATGTGGGCAGTTCACACTTCTCTGAACCATTCATAGAATCATAGAAAATTAGGGATGGAAGGGACCTCAGGAGGAAGGGATCTAGTCCAACCCCCTGCTCAAAGCAGGACCATCCCCAACTAGATCACCCCAGCCAAGGCTTTGTCTAGCTGGGTCTTAAAAAGCTCCAAGGATGGAGATTACACCACCTCTCTGGGTAACCTGTTCCAATGCTTTACCAGTGAGAAAATTCTTCCTAATATCTAACCTAAAATTTCCTTGCTGCAACTTGAGACCATTGCTCCTTGTTCCATCATCTCCCACCACTAAGAACAGTCTAGCTCCATCCTCTTTCAAACCCCCCTTCAGATAGTTGAAGGCTGCTATTAAGTCTCCTCTCAGTCTCCACTTCTCTAGACTGACTAAGCCCAGTTCCCTCAGCCTCTCCTTATAAGCCATGTGCCCCACCCCCCTCACCATTGTTTCCATTTAAATATCTGCAGACTCAGGGGGACTGCATGACATCAGTTCACAATCACAGCCAGAAACACCACAAGCTTTGGGCTGGATTCACCAGGATGCTTTGGCAGCTTCAGCAATACTGCGTGAGCAGCCCTGGAGCAGTAACAACAACAGAGGCTCTGTCACTCCTTCCATATTGAAACAAGAGCTTCAATTGCTCAGAGTCTGATGAGACCAACAGAGGAATACTGCTAATATGCTTCATGGCTCATCTGACTCCAAATCATTTCCGAGAGAGTCTCTGCTGCCCATCCTACACCTTTGGTTGCTTTATCTATCTCTGACTACATGGAGTCTGTGGTTTCTCACACTGTTGGTATCCATGGTATCCATCTGGATAGGCCAGTGAAGTACTGTTTAATTTAAACACTAGATTTATAGGGCATTAAAGGATCCCATACTAATGATCAGTACAGGATGGCAAAAAAAAAAAATCAAACCAACTCCCAAAAGACACAACACTTAGGCATTAGGACCAAGCACCTCCCTGGACCCATACATCAATGCAACTCTGAACATTTTGTCCTGTTGGGAAAAGCATAATTCATGACAAACTGTCAGTTTCTCTGCCTCAGGGCCTTAATTCCCCATTTGGTGTCTCATGCTACTAGGTTTGTGACTCCCAAGGTGCTAAATCTTTTGCAGGTTCCTGACATGATTAACAGCTTAGACACATACATCTTTCTGTGCATAAATATGGCTGGCAATATGGAAAAGTCCAGTGCCCAAGGGTTACAGGAAGCAATTTATCTATTGAGGGAGGTTTCCATACTTTATTGGGGAAAAAACCCCTTTCCTAGCAATACAAACTAAGGCCCTGCTTCTGTAAAAAAAATTGCATCTGGGTTAGCTTGACTGACTGGGACTAGCTTCCTCATTTCCATGGGACTGGTGCCCAGAGTAAGTTCTAGCATCTGCTTAAGAATTTGCAGAGCAGAGCCTACACTCACACACCAAGATTTTAACTCAGGAAGGGTGGGGGGGGGCATCAGCAGGTGTTCACAGAGGTAAAGATCACCCTCTTGGATCAGTGTTAAATATTCTATGTACAGTCCCCTGCAATTTTAACAGAGGGGCCCATCCATCACAGCAGTTTGCAGAATGGGGCACTGGCTTCCTGAAAAAAAGCCTTTCAAATATATATTGCTGGAGAAGAGCTGGAGATATTGTTTATCACTGCCTTTTCTCCTGACCTCTCAAATGTTCCACCTTTTAGTTGGCCATGCCACAGGATTCCTGGCCCCTGCCAGGCTGGGAGAACAAAGTACCACATATAGCCAAAGCAGATCTGCCCTATCCACAGGGGCCAGCAGATTCCAAGCCAACATGAAACGTTCTCCCTACAAACAGAGATTTTAAGGTTAAAACTGTTCCTCCAGCAGCTTGTATCCAAGTTGCACAGTGGGTTCTAACCTCGCTGTTGTAACTGTGCTGATGAGCCAGGAGGGAAGCAGTCAGCAGCCAAGCAGAGCAGAGAAGTGCCTCCTCTGAGGACGATAAAGCAGGTTCAGAGGGAGATGGCCATGTCCAGGTAACATCCAGCACTCTCTGAAGCAGCTCCAGCAAAGGAACACTGGAAAGCAGCACGGCCACCACTGTGGAAGAAAAAAGTCATGCCAGTTTCAGGAGTCTGCTGGGATGATGCAGAGACAGTCAACAGGCATACAGCCCAAGGGATCAGAGCTGGCCACAGCATAGACCCACAGAACATGGCTCCTTAGAGTGTTCATCTTATCCAGTACCCCACCTGCTGCTGCAGAGGTATGACTGCTGGGCCAGTTAACAAAATAAACAGTATTAAAACAGTCTAGCTGGATGGTTGCCTATATCTGCTTCTCTCTCTTAAGTTTTTGAATTGTAATGAAGGCCTGAAAGCCCCAGTAAGGCACTATGGTCTCACCATGCTAGGTGCTGGATAAGCAAGTGAAATACAGAGGACTTCCTGCCCCCCTGAGGTCAATGCTTCAATCTATAGAAAACAGCAAGCTCCTCATATACCCTTCTGTCATGCAATCCCCACACTTCCCCACCCATCAAGCACCTAGCCAATATGTAACCAGAATGGAAAATATCCTTCTTGACCTCTCATCACTCTGAAACTCATGTTCTGCTGGTCCTTATTACCCAAACCTGCTCAGCTACAGCTGGGTTGAGATCAACTCAGTGGAACTGCCCCAGCCTATAGCATTTAACGCAACCCTGTTCACCTCTCTGTTGGCTGCAGACCATTGTCTGGTGAAGGCTCCAATACAGGAAGTTCAAGGAGGGTTGCAGGAGCTCTGCATCATCCAGTCTGCACTTCCCACAGAGGTTGCTGACTACAAGACACAGTAATACAGGAGATGACTGAGCATTCCCAAAGACAATACCAGGCACAATATCAAGACCAGAAAGACATTAACTAATTGGAGAAAAGTGCAATTGAAATACTGAAAGGGCTGAAGGAACTGAGGAAAACTTTAAACAACAAAAAGAAGGGGTGAATTTGGCTATTATTCATGAAGTTCCAGAAGCTTAGTTCATACAAGGTGACAACCCACTGCTCCTAGGGAAATCTAGTCTAAACTAGACAGTGCAGCAAGGGATGACAAATGCCAAACAAAGGGTTTGCACAGGAAGGTGAGGGGTCCCAGTAGCGACAGGCTACAAAATAAGTGGTTTGTTGCAGACATATCTTGCTGGCTCCTAACATCAAACCTACAAGGATGGTGTTCAAAACAAAAATCTGGGAGGAAGGCAAGGACTGGGGAGCTGCCGTGGCAGATCAGCCCTGTGGTCCACCCAGCCTGTGGTTGTTTAAGATGGCCAGCACCAGATGCTTCAGAGGAAGGTGAAAAACCTGTCCATCTATTAATTGTAAGGATTACTATTAAAACCCTGAGGATCCAGCACTGTTGTGTTAGGCACTGTACCTGCCCATAACAAAGAGACAGTCCTTACCATGAATACCTTATCATCTAAATAAAAGCAGATGCCTCTTCCTAACTCTGCTCTCTTAGGTTACTGGCCATCTGCAGAGCAGACCCACAGAAAGCAGTGGCAGTCTCAAAGCCTGGACCTTTTAACATGGGACAGAACAGTGCTGCAGACTGCTGTGGAGAATGTTCCTGCATCATCCAGGTACTGGGATAAGAGACCATGGACCAAATGAGTCAGTCTCGTCTACCTTTGACACCCACAATCTCTGAGCAGCTCACACAAACCCACTGGCTGCCCGCACAGGCAGACATGCATGCAATTCCCCACATCAGAGGTGACCTTGTAACCCAAAACTGTTTCTCTGTCACTGATTGTCAGGGACCACCGACTTCACTTTCCTACATAACATCAATACGCAGTGAGGAATGACGCTGAAAGCCCTGTCTGACAGGCTCTGGGGTAGTTTTTAGCTGTTTGGTTCTTGCGTTCTAGTCTGGCTTAAACTGCCACATCTTCCTGTCATATTAGTTACCAGCCCCATTCCCTTATTCCTGGTGACTGCCAGAGGTGGGAAGAATCATCTGCTGCTATGTGGACAAAAACAGTTAAAGTCTCTTCCCAGGGTAGGGGACTTGTCACCTGCTCAGCCTCTGAGCAGTAAGAGGAAGGCAGTGCCTTACTCTGCACCTCCGCCACTGAGAAGCAACAAACAAAAGGAAGGTTACAGCCAACCCCAGGCAGCAGAAAAGACTTTGGCTGCCATGTGAGGTCAGAGCAGAGGTACATTAAGGACAGCCTGATTCCCACATACAGAAAGACTCTTATACTCTGGCCACATAGAAGAACCCTGAAGGGACTGCACACATATTTTACTCCCACTACCACAGCAGTGCAAAGGAGCCCTGAGTTCCAACAACAACCAGGCCCTCAGTCTAAGCACAGAAACAGATCCCAGCAGGAAAAGAAGGATGCAGAGACTCACCATGGTGGAGCAGCTTGAAGTCTGTGGTGTCCAGCTCTCTCTCAGCCTCATTCCTCAGCTGCACTAGAAAGATGAGGCTCAGCAACAATGGCAGGTTCCTGTTAGCTAAGAAAGGAAAGGGATGGCTGGTCAACATGCTCCAACACACTACTGTCCCAGAAGCATTACGTGGTGTTCACCTTGGAGCTCGCTTGGCAGAGGGGATGGGGTCGGGATGGTACAAGCTGATATCCAAAATATCCTCCAATCATTGTTTCCTCCCTCGTTCACTCTAGTCAAGGCTGACCCTGACATCCTCTAAAGGCTGGTTACAGGTTCTTTTGAGTCCCATCAACACCTGCTCTAGGAGTAGCAGGAGAAAAGCCAGAGGGTTGCTGTTTGGGGAAACACTCCAACCCTGGAAACCCAGACCTGCTCCACTCCTTGTGTAGTGCACAGTAAACCAGGAAGGAGAGAGGTAGAACCATGGTGGATAGGACTGGGAGCAGAAAGCAGAGCAGCAGATCAGACAGGGGAAGGGAATTGGAGTGGCACTCGGCAGAGGTGCAGGGCTAATTTGTGACATGCCTACCAAAAAGGTTGTTCCCCTCACCCCCTCTCTTACACCCTTAATGGGCTGGCAAGAGACAATCTCATAGAACCTTCATAGAAGCTAGAAATCCACCACTCTTTCCACCATGATGCTTTCTGTACTTTCTTTATGTAGTCAAACACCTACCCCTGTTAGGCACTTGAGTTCTCATCCCTCCATGGCCAACCATCTCCCAATCTGCAACATATTTATCCTCCCAACACCCCGGCAAGCAGAGGAGCAAACTAGCAACTCCATGTTGCAGCAAGGAAATGGAGGGAAAGTCTACACTGTGGTCAAAGCTGCAACTGCAACTGGTGTAGACAGCCCTGAATTTGTTTCAGATGGGCTCAGGTAGTAATCCCAGCAGAGTGGCAGCAGCACAGAGCTGAATGGGAGCTAGCTGCTTGAGTACATACCCAGGGACATGGGTGGATTTTGCAGCGCACATTGAGCTCTGTGCTGCCACAGCTGCTGGCTTGGGTAATGGTACCTGAACCAGCTGGCTTAATGCTAGCTCAGGTCTGCCTACACATCCTACACTCATGTCTTTGACTGCAGTACAAATATATTTTAAAACATAGGTTGACTGGCTGAGGATAATCTGCCCTCCTTATTGGCACCAGCAATTGTACCGAAGTGCATGGACTCTTCCTACACAGAGAACTGAACCAGCAGAGAGGAATGACTTCCAATCACTATCTGAGGGTTGGTCTACACAGAGATATTTACCAACACGACTCCCTGCCTATACACTCTAATGAGAGTGTTTTTTTCTGCTTTAGCTTCTGTGCTTTGAAAAAGGTACGTTAAACTGGAAAAAGACTGTCCTATTCCAGAATAAGAGTATCCACACCAGTATAGTTCTGCTAACAAGTATCCCTGCATAGACAAGCCTTAAGGCTGGATTACAAACTGTGGCAAAAAGATCAAAGACCTCTTAGCACAGATTTAATCTCTAAACTCTGATGCTGTCTGTTATCGGGCTGAAATTACACAGGAAATTCACCTTGTAAAGTCGCAGAGCTGCTCTCCACCAGCAGCTGTTGCAGAATCTGGAGAAACTGACTTCGGAGAAGGTCACAGACCAAGACATCCTCGTTTCTTTTCAAGAAGACCTTCAGTGTCATCAGCACCTTGTGGGCCACTTCCACACTGCTTGAGCAGACAAGATCCTGGCAGGAAAGAACATCACCATTACACTATATTGGTTCTTAGGGAAATAGGACAACAAAGTGGCCATCTATGTTTAGCATGCCCTGACCACACAGAATACGAGGCAAGAGGGAAATGCACTCTGCCCTTTGAGACAAAAACACCTTCATTAGCAGGTTCTGACCCACTAGAAATATCTGAGTCCCACCTAGTGTGCCTGAAATGTTGGGTGTCCAAGTGGCTTGATTTTCAAAAGTGCTGCTGAGGACCCGGCAACTCCCACTGACTTCCTTAGGGGCTGCTGCTTCATATATTAAGGCCATGTGCAGTCAAACCCTTGGAGGTGAGCACCAGTGAAGTACCCAGGGGTATACAGTGCCACACCAAACAGCTGAGTGTGACAGTTGAAGTGCTCCACATGATTGCCACAGCTTTAATCCGAAGGATGCTGCTTCTCCTATTAGCAGAGCAAGACCATTGATTAGCTTGAACTCACTGGAGAAGCAGCACCCTTTGAAGTAAAAGTCACAGCAATCCACTGCACAGCTCCTCCTTAATTTAGCACCCTGCTGCAAATTAAGTGGATTGTGAGTCACCCAGAGACAAATGATTTGGGTTCATATCTGTATTTAAAGCCCTTAAATAAGGGGCTTAACAAACCTACCATTGGATGCACTTTTTAAAATGTTTGGCTTAGAAGCCCAGCATGTGTAGGAACAATATGATATAAACACTAGGTAATAATTCAACCCCAAAATTAGAAATGGGGGGAAAATGATTCATTTAGTCCCTCAGCATCTTTTTGTAGGAACAATTTGTCCTGGAGTCTCTGGTTAAACCAGGCTTGACTAGCATTGACCACCATTCAGCAAAACCCTTACTCATGTGCCCTGCTGGAAACATACACTTCTGTGCTTTGCTGAATGAGGATGAATTTAGGTATATGCTTAATGTTTAGTTCATGCTGAAGTGCCTTGTGCAACTGGAACTGATAAAGCCTGAGGTATAAAATACTGAAGATATAATAACAGGTTGATATCAAGGAAGAGGACACTACTCAGAGCTGAAATAATGTGTTCAATCTTAGTGACTGCAGCTCAGAAAAGGCACAGCAGAAAGAGAGGGGATTCAGAAACAGGCAACAAAAATGCTTTAACAGCTAAAGCCACTTCCATCTAAAAAGAGATTAAAAATACTGGGAATGTTTAGTTTAGAGAGATGAATATAAGAAAACATGATGGAGGTATAAAAAAGACCAGGGTACAGACAGGGTAAACTGAGCTCTCCTCCATTTACCTTCTTTCACAATGCAAGACTAGGAGGGGGGCTATTCAGTGGAACAAAGGCAACACATTTAAAGATGCTTATAGGAAACCCTCAGACCTCAAGGTAAACCAAGGCAATGACGGGAAGATAAAATATTATCTGGAAGGGACAGGCAAAGATGCAACAAAGTGGAAGGAAATCGTACAAGGTAGGCAGAGATGGAAGGCTGCAGTGAAGGCCATTATAGGCCCTCAAGGCCTACGAAACCAGAGAAAGAGAGCCCTTCTTTATGTAATTGCTTTGTGCCATAAAGTATAACTGAGTATAGTAGACTTCAATATGAGTATTTATATGAGTTATGAGAACACCCACAGCTAAATGAGCTAGGATAAAGTACCTGCAAAGTATATAAACCTTGGAAGGTACAAGGGCATAAGCTGTCTGCTAACTCCTTTGAATTACCTAATATTAGTCAGCATACAATGTGGACAAGTGAGCTGATCTGATAGGTCAGTTCCTGTGTTCATACCTTTGATCAGCCCTATGATCCAGTGCTAATATTTAGTCTTGAATTCAATTTACAATATCCTTTATTTATGCAGTACAGGAGAACAATCTAAAGTTGACCAATTCCAACTTCATGTGTGTGTTAACATGTTTCTTTTTGCTCAGGAACTCAAGGTCCCCAGTGAAGCCACTCACCGTCTATTCTGTTTAGCCCAGAGTTTTAATAAGAGCAATCAAGCAAATAAATCACCCTGGGAAGGACATTCATTTCATCTCCCTATGACATGCAGAGGTCTTTCTATTTTACTAGTGGCTTTACTTTCCTCCCAGGCTGGGGTTATTTATCTCTGAAGTTTGGTTTATATCTGATGGAATATTTATTCCAAGATATTGGACTATCTTATTAGCCCATTTAAATTCAGATTGATTATGCTGTTCCCTTGCCGAGAGGTGAATTGTCAATGTCTGTGATTTATTACAGTTTACTTTAAAGCCTGGAACTGAGTTAAACTAATTTATTTCTGAAACAGCATGTGGCAAAAAGCAAATGAGAAAGTGGGAACATAATGCCATTTGTAGAACGTGCAATAGTTTCTCTATTTCATCATCCAGAACTGGCTTCGTCTTTATATAGCGGTGATATATAAATTAGTTGTACTTTGTTGGGTGAGGGATGCCAAAATTATCTACCCAATTATTTTTGGCAATAAGTCATTCTAGGACATCCTTACTTTTAATTCAGACTGATCTGTCAACTAACCAATCACTTTTAGTGAAGGTCTGGAAATGATTTGCCTGAATATGACTTTGTATTCTGGAACACAGTCCAAAGTGGTGAAGGCTTCCTCTGAGGAATGGACTTTGTCTCTATGGGCCCTCTCAGAAACTGGTGAGAATTAATGTTGCACTGTCTGTTGGATGAGACAAACATGGCCACCCTCTTAAACCATGTTTACACTGTCTGCTAAGGCCAAATCTGCCTCCCTCTCCCATTTTGGGAGGTTATTTATTCAAGAGTATGGCTACTATTTTATCTGAAAGCTCAACAGTTTCAGCAGGAAATTAGGCTTCTCTTCTGAATAATATGTAGCATTCTTCTAGAATCAAGGGGCTGAAAGAGACCTAAGGTTCACCCAATCCAGCCACCTGCACAACTGCAGAATGTGCTGTATCTGCATCATCCCAGACAAATGTTTACCCATTCTCCTCTTAAAAACTTGCAGTGTAGGATATTCCACACCTTCTCCAGGCAAATTTTTCCACCCTTTCATGATTATAATAGGTTATTAAGTTTGATGGAGATCTGCTGACTGATACTAGCTGAAGCCCTGACTTATTACTCCAAGGGCTGAGAGGACTTTTGAACAGTGAAAGATCAATCCCAAAGGTTTCTGATGTTGTCTTTTAAGAGCAACACAGGCATGGGAGGATCTAGGATTTTGAAAAGAGGGTGCAGATGGTATGGCACATCATCACATATAACAACATATTTTTCTCCAGTTAAAGAGAAACTAGACACTTTACTAATATGCTAAGGAAATAGCACTATATTATTTAGTTTAAGATCAAAGCAAAAACAAATATTACCAGTTACACAGTTCCCTTGATCATGGGCTTCACTGTCTACCCAGATTCCAGAGGCAACCAAGCATCTTGGCTGGGTTGCCCAGGTACAGCCAAAGGCTACTTCCATGTCAAATTTGCACAGGTGGTACAGGACTGAATACAGCAGGGGCAGGCAATTATTTTGGGCACAGGGCTGCTTACTGAGTTTTGGCAACCCATTGAGGGCTGCATGACAGGCAGCCCAGGGCAGATTAATATTAATTTTCAAAATTTTTTAGGGACCTTGCGGGCTGGATAGAATGGCCTGGCATACCGCATTTTGCCCATCCCTGGAATACAGTATATACAAAGGAAAATTTTCTGCATGGATCCCCAATTCAGAGAACTGTTTATCTATTAACTGAATTGCTTTCCAAAATCAGGCCATTAGTGATAGGCTGTCCTTGTAAAAGTCACATACCAGTAAAATGAGTAAAATGCTGGAGTTGCCTTTCAGGATATGAAGTAAACTGTTACAGCCATTTGGGCAATCAGGCAAGCCAGAGGAGAGTTCAGAGGCAGCATCTTCAATCTCCATTTGACTGCAGTCTTCCCAGGAAAACCAGAGTTGAAGGATCTGGTGACCAAACCTGCCCACAAGCTCAGAATAACGCAGGAAGAATTTAAGCAGGAGAGGATGATGAACATAAATTGAGCCCACATCTGATATATTCTCCACAATCCTTTTGATGGCACACAGAGGACTCTAATCAGCAGGGAGAGACACAGGGAGGAAAATAATCCCTAGACTCTGAGTAAGCGGAAGCTAAAGGGCATTTATAGGTGGGGACACTTTAATTAGCAGGACTCTGAGAGCCGCACTAATTAAAGCTCCCAGAGTGTCACATGTATGTGTCCCTGTGCTAAAAAATGGCAGCAGGGACAGTTTAACTGAAGCTTGGCGAACCAGCTTTAAAGTGCCCCTGCCACCATTTTTCAGTGTGGGAACATTGATACACATGATGCTGGAGTCTGGTGGAGCACAGTAATTACCATGCTCCAGCAGACCCGATTAATCAAGTCCGCTCCGACGTGCTGTAATTACAGCGTGTTGGAGCAGCCTCCCTGCACATGTATAGGAGTCCAAAGTGACAGGACTCTTGTGTGGGAGAAAGACAGTCAAGTTTCCTGTTTAAACAACTTGTCAATATCATCCAAACACAGTCTTTATGGAGTCCTGCTGAATCACCAGGGCTAAGGACCACTTTGTAACTTCTAGTCAGCGCTCTAAAACTGTGGAGCAGAAGATAAACTCTACAGAAGCATAAGAAATCCTGATGACAAGGATGCCAGTGCATTCAGGAGGTTGAAGTTAAGGAACTTCTAGAAGCCTTCACACGTGCTCATCCATGCCACAAACACCTTCCCACATATGTACAACTTTAATCACTCAAACCTGTATCCCACAGCACTCTCTATGCTGAAGTAATCTGAAAACTCCCCACCTCCTCCTATCATCAAATACAGTTGCTTTCAAAGAGGGTAAGGGCATGGGGAAAGAATTCTGCTTTTACCAAATCTAAGGCTTCAGCTTTGTCTTGACATATAGCCAGAAGGTAAAGAACAGCTCTGAACACATATGGAGGGGGATAGTCTCCCTGATCCTGCACTGACAGAAGGAAACTTCTTATGGCTGAGAATAATTCTGCTTCTGGAACAAATCTGTAAACAAAAAGATGGGAGACAGGAAACCATAAAGCCAGCCCAGCCTCATCTGGGGGCTGCCTTCTTCAGACCCTTCCTTGGCTCACCTGTCTTCCATGGTGTAGGCAAAGTACAAGAGAAGCAGGAAGCAATACTTGTGGCTGTGAAGGGCTTCATCTAAACAAAATGGCTCTGCGGTTTCTGACAGGAGGATGAGGCCTTCAGGCACACTGTAGTTTAACTGAGGCAGACTCCTCTGCAGAAGCTCAGACATCTCTTGCTCTAGAAAGGAAGCTACTTTGAGAATGGCAGGAAGAACTGAGGAATACCAGAACAAAAGCCATATTTCTATTT